AAACGATAGAAGAGCTGTTGTAAACTGCTGGTTAGTGCTCCCACCAGGAGCTTCGATACTGCCGTCCACAAGGCCTTGTATCCAACGCCGGGTCAGGTTGGGCAACGTACCATGATAGCTTGAGAGACCCGTTGAGCCAACCAATGAGGCCCAGCTAGAAAAAATTAATGCATCAATGCATATGTTAACATAAATATTCTGTCAAAAATATTAAATATAACAAAATGTTAAAGTTTATCCCACGAAAGACATACAATCACAAACCTCAGGGAAAGCCTACGAAAACTTCAGTATGGTCTGAGATGGGTTTCCCGGGTTGCGGCTGGTCACCCATGCTCTCATATGACCAAGCGTCTCAAAAATCCTCTGCGGAGGAAGCCTCACTCACCGCCTTCTCGTGATGGAGGTCCTTTCCCACCAAAGTGAGAGGACGAAGAGCTGAAATCCGGGTTGGTGGACCACTGGTATTCAACCTAGGGGAGTTGGCCAAAACCCTGATTCCAAACCAGCCAAGAGGAGACGTACGAACCATATACATTTTCCCGGTTGGGGCAATGGTCACCGGCTCATTTGAGCATAGAGGTGTGTTGGGCACCTTGGACGTTTGACCCCGTCCAAGAGGCGTATGATTCGATGAGCTGGACACCGGCCTACAATGGATTGCGGTTTTGGTTGTTCAAAGGCTCCGACTGTTGATAGCTCCAAAAGATTCACCTAGCTTGGCCTGGGCAACCTGGCAGTATTCGGCCGACATGCCAAACATGGAACGTTTTTCTTTTTTATAAAGATTGTTGTAGATTGATTTGTTTGGCCGTCTGGCCTCAAATGCGTGCTATACAAAAATCACCTCAAGTAAATAACAGCATACACATACACACATTCATAAACTGTCAAAAAATCACGGTACGGAATTATTAAAACTAACTAAATTAGTCGGTGAGTCGCTCGTGAACAGAATTATGATAGGTTGTCCAGATTAGAGTAGAGGAATTTTCTTGTGAATTCAAAAACGGAAACTATAGTTAGCCAACGCCTGATATAAAAGGCGGCGGGGTTATAATATAACCACAGTCAATTGGGGGCCCTATACCCAGTTCCAATTACAAGCCCTTTGGATGGAGTCAAATGCTTAAGGTGCCCAGTGACCCTTGATGGTCACTGCTTGAACCAGGAACGTGATTCATACTCCTCGTCGTGGTTTGTTCAGAATCAGGGGTTTTAGCCAAATCCCCGGGAAAAACTGATTGATTCGCCCATCGGACTGTAGCACCAAGCGTTAGCGTTTTGGTGGTAAAACACTTGTCATGTAAGGGCAATGATTAAGGCATTCTCGACAGAGGCTATTAGAGAATATTGGTCGCGTGGAAACATTCGGCGTTTTGCCAGGAAGGAGTGAAAGGTTACAACCCAAAACATCCAACTTCGACCATAGTTAGGCTTTTGCATCAAGTTAACAAACTAGGGCCCAAATAGTACATATGAGCTATTGAGCAAAGTGGCCTACCATGAATCCCGCTGATTGAGAAAATGAGCCTCGGCAACTGGAAATCGGTTGTTTATGCTGACTCGAATCAACTGAGTCTTTTTCACACACCCAAGTGCGATGAACAGTGGACGGGGTAGACCCTATAGTCACGAGGACCTGCTGTTCAGTGGTGGGAACCGGCAACCTAACACCCGGGACTTGGAGTGGAGAACCATATAGGATCCCGATAGGTTAGGCGTGGTATTGAACCGGATGACAGAAGAGCTGCCTACCACCAAAGTTGGGTAGCTCTAACCTCAGACCATAAGGTCCAAAGCACGCCGGTGACAGCGATAAACCATTGCGCCACCACCACCCAAATGAGCACGAATATCAACCTTGCACTAACGTGCGTACGTTTTGGTTAGTCTTTGGACTAACTATTCGAAAATCTAGTGAAGAAATCCATGAACTGCCAAAAGATTTTCTGTCTAGATGGGGTTAGACAGTAAAATTATCCGTCGGTTTATCACCGTCCTAGTGAAAACCTGATGTGCAGATTTATAAGAAAAAGTGAAGCTAAGTAAAAGACCATCAGGTGTCCCTTTTATTTTGTATTGCTGTTTAGCATTCCGTTGGGGAATTAACTACGATCAACCGGCGGTAATCAACATAATAGGAACATAATACTATGCACCCAAAATACCGGCTGTTTAAAGCCTTCAACCGGATAAAGATACCAAAGAATTAAACCATTAAGGCTAGCAAACCTTAATAAACGATCAACTTACTCCACACCCAAACGGTGAGAGTTAACAATGGCTGTCATCGTTCGTAGAGCGCATGCCTTGATCCCCATATATTGGCCATCAGGTAGTTCGAGGACTTCGACAAGTTCATCCAGGAGATTGGGATAAAGATGACGCTCGTCCACATCGAAGGTATACGCTATGGAGTTGCACATTAAAATCAGAGAAATCAAATGACCAAAACACCTTAGGGTATCACTTACAAAACTACCAGTTTCACATTCAGAGTTAATACATGCTGATAACCGGTTAAAATGGTATTGCCTAACGAATAAATGATGACGAATAGCCACTCTGTAATAAGCAACATCGATGATCACTGTCTCAGGACTGGGAGTGGGGAACAGAAAGAGAGCAAACTAACTACTAGTGTTTTAGGTTCCAATGGTGTATTATTGGTGATTTCATAATAGACTTCAGTACTCTACCCAGTATACTGTGGGGAAAATGGATATTACCATGTGGTCGTCAGATTTATGTCAACGAGCAATTCGTCATTTTAAGACACCAAATACTTCTCAGGTCATGCAAGTCAATCCGAAGCATCATGAATATGCGCATACGGTTCGCATAAAAATGCAATCAATCGGTCAGCAACAAATTACGAAGGCTGTTAGTGAACGCCACTTACACAAAATAGAGAGCGCTTGTAGACGGGCACGAATGCATTTATGACGCTGTTCTGGATCCGCAAAATATGTGGCGAGTCGAACACGGGCAAAGAGGGCCATTTGTTTTGATGATGGAACGGGATGCTGAGCTAAAAGCTCTTCCATTATTTGGGATGGAGTCTGTTTGCGCTTGTGCAGTGCATGTAATACGATCTTGTGATTTGCAGGCCAAGGAATATAACTGGAGGGCCTTCCACGACTGTCATGAGAAACATCTGGCGTGGTGTCATGGATAACTCTGCTGGGATCAGTATCTGCAGGCTGACCAAGAGACTCAGTCTTATCTGGCCGATACTCAAAATAGATGTTTCCCGCCGTTTCAGGGAACTGAAAAAGACATAATGGCTGGTATTTCGCGAACTTACGTGATTTGGATCACAGCAGGCTGCTAGACCAAAGTTATTCTCGACGCCACCCCAGGTCTGAAATACCATCAAGTTAGAAAGACATCCATACCTCTGCAATTGAGACTAGTCGATCGAGCACCATCTTCTTATTGAAAGGATCAAGTCGGATGAAGTAGTTGCTCCGTTTGCTGTTTTTCTGTTAGATAATAAGGAAGATCATACCTAAAGTTGTACGACAGTCCAAGTACAGCAAGCAGGATATCCATGTTCTCGGATCCGAATAAAGCAAGTATATGGTTCCATGACCCATAGAGATAACGATAGATGCTGTGTTCAATTAAATGACCAGTAAATTCTAAAATTGTTACGACATCGTCAACTAACGATGCCTCTTCTGGGGTATCCAACCGTAGCATCCACCGCCCAACTTTCGTCACTGCTCGCTCAAGGATAGCATCCAAGCGATCAAGAACATCAGCCCAGAGGCCCAATTCACATTTTCCATAGTTCCATACATTGATTTTCTTAAGCTCTGATATCAGTGTATCGTCCGGACATTCAGACAACCGCTTAGCAAGTAGCATACACTCATTCTGGTCATAGCCGGATCTATTGACAATCTTCTTGCGATCAATTTTCATATCGCTACGACTGAAGGACTCTCAGATTAAATATGGCAGTCCCGGCTGGTCAATTCATGAATTTGAGAACGAACTTCTGAATTGATATTTATGACGGTTTATTAACAAAACGAGGAAAACCGAAACGCAATTTGAACAACGCGCCAGCGGTGTGCGACACTATTCAGGTCAGGTCAGGTCT